GAGTGGTAGTGCAAGCCTATAGTCCCAGCTACTTGAGAGGTTGAAATGAATCCAGGAGTTCGAGACTAGTCTGGGCAACATAGTGAGACCTTGTCTCTGCAATAAATCAAAAAATTAACTGGGTGTGGTGGTACGCCACTACTCACCTACTGGGAATGCTGAGACAGGAAGGTCACTTGAGCCCAGAGGTTTGAGTCTTCAGTGAGCTGTTATCACCACTGCACTCCAGGCTGGGCGATAGACTGGGCAAGAGAACTGCCTGAACCCAGGGGTTTGAGACCAGCCTGGGCAACTTGGTGAGACCGTATGTCTACAATAAATTAAAAAATTAGCCAGGCATGGTGGCGTGTGTCTGTAGTTCCGGCTACTTGGAATGCTGAAACGGAAGGATCACCTGAGCCCAGCAGTTAGAGGCTGCGGTGGCCATGAGCGTGCCACTCCAGCCTGGGCAACAGAGTGAGATCCTGACTCAAAAAAACCACACACACACACACACTTTACTTTTATATGTAATTTATATATTTATATTTAAAAACAAAATATACACATATGCACATATATATGTGATGTAATATAACTTTGAGTTAAAGTTACTACATAGTGATAAATTTTTGCAGTTAGTAGACTCAATGAAATATCCATTAATCTAGCAAATACATATTGAGCACAGTGTTCAATTTATTGCCTGGTTTATTCACAATATCTAAAAAACTTAACGATATGGTAAACTTTAGAAACAGTATGTATCTACTACTACGGGAATGGTTAAATTAAAATATTTTGGGACTGTAAGTAACTGAAAACACAGAAAACAAAACTGTGGACTATTATATAGCATTTTATATATAAAAGTTAGAATATCAGATTCTAGACCTGCTAATAACGACCCATTGTGTAGGATAGCTGTTTGAGTTGGCGTCTCACTCTGTTTTCCAGGCTGGAGTGCAGTGGCATACTCATGACCACTGCATCTTCGACCTGCTGGGTTCAGGTGATCCTTCCACTTTAGACTTCCAAGTAGCTGGAACTACAGGCATGTGCCACCACACCCGGCTAGTTTTTTTATTTATTGTAGAGACGAGGTCTTGCGGATTTGTCAGGCTGGTCTCAAACCCATGGGCTTAGGCAGTCTTCTCACCTTGGCCTCCCAAGGTGCTGGAATTATAGGTGTGAGCCACCGCATCTGGTGGTTGCTGTGAGATTTATGAGAGACTATGTAATTCACCTAGTGTGTGGCACTAGCAATTTTTTATAAGTAGTTGCATTTTGTTATTATTAAATGTAGTGTTACTGAAGCTTTGTAAACTGATGTTCTTTTGCAAATAATGTTTGTTATGTTTGCAACTTATGTTAATATGTTGCAAATCTGACATCAGTGAAGCCTATGTTTATGGTTGGTTTTCTAGTTTTGTGATCTCTTTTTGAACAAATGGATTCATCTGTTCACAGTAGTTCTCCTAATGCTGGGGTAGGGGAATTAAAGTTTTTAGGGACCTCCAGAATGAATGTATCATCTTGGTTTTGTTTAATGGAAATGTTCTAATCTGTGAGATAATCAGCCATAATCAACCTGTCAACCAAGTAGTAGCTCACACCTGTCATCTCAGCACTTTGGGAAGCCGAGGAGGGAGGATTACTTGAGCTGGAGTTAAAAATCAGCTTGGGCAACATAGTAAGACCTTGTCTTTACAAAAAAATTAATTAAAAAAAAAAAGCCGGACATGCTGGCATAGGCCCCTAGTCCCGGCTTCTCAGGAGGCTGAGACAGGAGGATCGCTTGTGTCCAGGAGGTTGGGGCTGCAGGGAGCCAGGGTTGTGCCACTGTACTCCATGCTGGGGACCACAATGAGACCTGGGCTTAAATATATATATATATATATATATATATTAATTCCCACTACATGTCTGTGGTCTGTCTACCTACCTTCCTACCTGCTCATCCACCTACCTACCTACAAGGGTGCCAAAAAGTGTATATACATTTTAAAAGATGTTCTTGATGTATTGCTTTTTGAAGTTGAATTGAATTACAGTAGCAGTGTGTAGTATGACATTTGCTCAACCGTGCTTCCTCCATTTTTGACTGTCCTGTCTGTCGCCTGGTGACGCAGGTATTCATTTGAGCACACATCATGCTTAAAAATGTGTATACATTTTTTTGGCACCGTGTGAGTATGTGTGTGTGTTTAATATTTAAAATGTAGTTATAACATTTCCTCCCAATCATTTGATGCAGATTACCAAATCAGGAGCACAAATCAAATGATGGAAAATAAAAATTGATTAGTAGAGAAGTAGATGTGCCAGGATTCTAAAATTGTTTATATTGTATTTTAATTTGGGATTTGTCTGAATTTTCTGGCAGCTGGAGTTGTGCCCTATAGTTTCTAATTGTGTGATAACAGAATTTTTACTACTTTATAGCCTATGATTGTCCTATAGAGCAATCCCCCGCCCGAGCTACATTTTAAGTATAATAGATGGTGTGGAACCTCTTAAGAATTTGACTTTCCGTAGATCTCTTGCTTTGGTTTGATTTGGGTTGTCATAGCTATGCCCAAATGCTTTCTCAAAAGAAATTTTGAAAATGTATAATCACTTAATCAGAAACATGGTTGAATTAGCTGTTATGTACCTATCTATATATTGGGATACATAATGTTGACTTACTTCTCAAGAGGAAGGTTTAATTTCCACATTAATATAAATATGTTCTTAGTATAGTTGTATTGATTTTTGAAATGTTTTTGTTTTACCTCTTCTTGTTAAGATTCAGCATTTATATTTCTGCAAAAAGCACTATGAAAATTCCTCATAAGCTGGGCTCGGTGGCTCAGCCTGTAATCCCACGTCTTGGGAGGCTGAGGTGAGTGGATTGCCTGAGTCTGCGGGTTCAAGACCCGCCTGGGCAACTTGGCGAGACCTCATCTCTACGATAAATCAAAAAATTAACCGGGCGTGGCAGCGCGTACCTGTAGTTCCAGCTACTTGGAAGGCTGAGGTGGAAGGATCGCCGGAGCCCAACAGGGTGAGGCTGTGGTGGCCAAGAGTGGCCACTGCCCTCCAGTCTGGGCGACAGAGTGAGACTCCATCTCAAAAAAAAAAAAGGAAAGAAAATTCCTCATGATGTAATGGTGTGGGAAAGCTTAGGCTTTGGAGTTAGACCATTCTTTGTTCTAATCCATTTACTAGCTTTGGCAAGTGATCAGTGATCTTTAAAACATAGGGATAAGCCAGGCTCGGTGGCTCAACCTGTGATTCCGCGCTTTGGGAGGCTGAAGTGAGTGGATTGCCTGAGCCCGCGGGGTTCGAGACCTGCCTGAACAACTTGGTGAGACCTCATCTCTACAGTAAATCAAAAAATTAGCCGGACATGGTAGTGCACACCTGTAGTTCCAGCTACTTGGAAGGCTGAGGCAGAAGGATCACCGGAGCCCAGCAGGGCGAAGCTGTGGTGGCCGGGAGCATGCCACTGCCCTCCAGCCTGGGCAACAGAGTGAGACTCCCACTCAAAAAAACCCAAAAACATAGGGATAGAGTTGTTATAAAGTTTTAAGTGGTGGTTTGGTTGAGGAAAAAGAAACTGAAGTGGGAAATATGAGGATATTAATTCTGCCATACAGTAGCCTCAAGTAATTGATCTGAAGAACAATTGGAATGTATAAAATAGAGATTAAATGAGATATTGCTTATTAAGTCATTAGCATAATACTCATATTAAGCTCCCAATAAATATTACTTGTGATAATCTATGTAGAGAGGAATAAAATAATTCTAATAGAAACCTTTTGCTTCCAGCATTCTTTTTTCTTTCTTTTTTTTTTTTGAGTTGGAGTCTCACTCTATTGCCCAGGCTGGAGTGCAGGGCACACTCACAGCCACTGCAGCCTTGACCTGCTGGGCTCAGGTGATCCTTCCGCCTCAGCCTTCCAAGTAGCTGGAACTACAAGCATGCGACACTATTCCCGGCTAATTTTTTGCTATGTTACCTAGGCTGATCTTGAACAGGTGAGCTCAGGCAATCCTCTGGCCTCTACCTCCCAGAGTGTTAGGATTACAGGCATGAGCGACCACTCCCAGCTGCCTCCAGCATTTTTAACAGGGTGTGTATCAAAATCATCTGGGCAGTAGTTCCCAAACGATAACCTGGGGGATCTTATAAAATATTTCTGAGCACCACCTTCAGAGTTTCTGACTTAGAAGATCTGGCATGAGGCTTGAAACTGTCATTTTTAGAGTATTCACTGGCAGTGCTGATGACTGCTAGTCTAGAGACTACACTTGAAGAATCATTGACCTGGAACATTTTTCAAGATAATACAAGCTGAGGGCAAGGTGGCTCATGCCTATAACCCCAGAGACTCAGCCGAGGCAGGAGGATTGTTTGAAGCTAGGAGTTCGAGACAGCTTGGGCAACACAGAGAGGCCCAGTCTCTAAAAAGAAAAACGCTAGCCGGGTGTGGTGGTGTGCATCTGTAGTCCTGGCTGCTGAGGAGGCTGAGGTGGGAGGATCCCTTGAGCCCAGGAGTTTGAGGCTGCAGTGAGCTGAGATCCCACCAATCAATGCACTGCAGCTCAGGTGACAGAGTGAGATGCCATCTTAAAAAAAGAAAAGCGCAAGTTGAAATGACAGCTGATTGCCGTTTTGGCAGTACTGTGCTACGGATAGCAGCAAGACTTATTAAGTTGGGGAAGTGCTTTTTTTTTTCTACTCTGGCCAAAGCTGTTGTAAGATTCTCTACCTTTACTTTTGCAAACGTCTTTGTAGAGATTTACATAGAAAAAAATGTAATAAATCTCCATATCCCTACACACGTGTTCTTTAGGAAAAAAGTATTGCAATTGAATTATTTTTAAATCCACGCCAATGCTGTTCTCATACCCAGTAGCTGTACATTTTTACAAATGTAAAACTAAATAAATGGATTTTCAAATACTTGTCGGTAGATTATTTTGTTATGGTGTTTGTTGACTCTTATATTTCTGGATCTTTTTTACAGTTAAATCGTCGGTCTGAAATTGTTGCTCCTAGATCTGGGGATTTCATCTTGAAGACATATGTAAGACGAAACAAGACTGAAACTTTTAAAACACTGAAAGGCAACTCAATTGGACTTAACATGTTGAGCAACAATAAGAAATTGAGGTATAGGCGCTTCATCACACATTCTTACAGAAAAGACAAAGAAAGGGTTTGACACCAAAAGCTTAGCTACCTTTATGGTCAGTATGGCCAAGAGGTAGGGTGGTCCTAGTATGTGGAATATTTGCTTTGAATGTTGGGAGTAGGGTTGACTGCAGTGATTTCTTGTATCCTAATAAAACATGGCAGTAAACGTTTCACCAGGCTGGGATCTCCTGAGTTTGCTTTCATACAGTTAGAATTTCAGTTATACTACTAGAAATCGAAGGCACCATAGATGGGGTGGTCATAACTCCTTTAGGAAATGCAGATCAAGGGACTTGCCAGAAAATATTTTTTATTCTTCTTCTTTACCAGATATAACTCAACCTTCCTAATGGTTGCTATAGTGAACCTCTGTTACTGGTAGGATTGGGCTGTTAGTAATAACCCAGAAATAGGACTGAAAATCACTACTTTGTTTCTACTGTGTCAGTTTGTACACGGACAGCTAATGTGCATAAAAACTAAGTAGTTTTTGAGTCAGTGGCAGAATCCAAAATAGAATTCAGGGCTCCTGATTTCTATTAAAGTGTTCTACTTTTTTTTTCTTGAACTGGATTAGAAACATTGGAATTCAGAAAATGAAAAACTCCTAATGGACAACTTAGCATGGCCAGTTGGGTTTATCTGTAACTTTTTTTAAGTGGTAAAGGCTTTGTGTGTTCATATTTTAAAGGATTTATTTTATAAATGTATATGTAATTTTTCCCTGTTCAAATTTTTTTTTCTTGAACCGTCAGTGAAAATACACAAGCTGCATCATTATGTTCTGGAACTATCGTTCACGGCAGGCGTTTTCATCATGCTCATGCGCAGATACCAGTAGTCAAAACAGCAGCCCAGAGGTAAGCATTCTATCTTCATGTGTATGTACCATTCTCTATTTCAGTAGGAGCTCTTACTGTTTTAACTGTCTGGAGAGATCTCTCTCTGAAATAATTCATGACCTGGAATTTTACAATTTTATATCTGCTTTTAAATTAATCACATTCTGTAAATATGTAATTTTTAAATAAGAGCCATTTTATCACACTGTAATCCAGAAGATCTAGAAGGTATTTACATTAGACTGATTTGCAACACTGATGTTACAGTGTTTGACTGAGATACTTTCCATTGGGCATTTAGCTCCAAAGAGTAAAATTATAGTTAATACCTTAATTTATTTATAAGGTTGATAAGATTGCATGGTATCCAACTGATCACATTATTAGCATTAAATGTTTGCGAACATTTTTAGTTAGATTTAGGAGTACTCATTGATTTTGAAAGCACTGCTTTTATCTTTAATTAATGAAAATAACATTTGGGGAAAACTTGGATATTTTTTCTTTTTTTTTTGAGTCGGAATCGCACTGTTGCCCAGACTAGAGTACAGTGGCACACTCATGGCCATTGCAGCCTTGACCCGCTGGGCTCAGGTGATCTTTCTACCTCAGCCTTCCAAGTAGCTGGAACTACAGGCATGCACCACCTCGGCCTGGCTATTTATTTATTTATTTATCACCCCCCCCACCCCTTTTCCTTTTTTTTTTTTGAGTCAAAATCTTACTCTCTTGCCCAGGCTGGAGGAGTGCAGGGGCACACTCACGGCCACTGCAGCCTCGACCTGTTGGGCTTCAGCAATCCTTCTGCCTCAGCCTTCCAAGTAGCTGGATCTATAGGAACATGCCACCATGCCTGGCTAATTTTTTATTTATTGTAGTGATACGGTCTCACCAAATTGCCCAGGCTGGTCTTGAACCCACAGGCTCAGGCAGTTCTCTCACCTAGGCCTCCCATAGTGCTGGGATTATAGGTGTGAGTCACTCTGCCCGGCCTTTTTGATCGAGAAGAGATCTTGCCAAGTTGTCCAGGCTGGTCTTGAACCCATGGGCTCAAGCAGTCCTCTCACCTCGGCCTCCCTTAGTCCTGGGATCATAGGTGTGAGCCTCTGTGCCAGGCCAGCTTGGGTATTTTAAATGCTTTTCAAGATTTTCAGAACCATTTTGGGGATGTTACAGTTCTTTTCAGTGTATTGCATTATAAATACTTGTTTATAACTAGTAAATTTTAAAGATTTAGCATGTATTTTAGATCCTAGCCTTCAGTTTAAAAAAATAAAAAGTCAATCTAGACTCCAACTCACTCAGACAACATGTCCTGAGCTTTAGGAGTCCTCTCTATATTTGCTGCTTACACAGATGTGTTTATAACAGAGGTTTTCAACATAAAAGCGTTAAATCTCTCTCACACTTTATTTTTTTAATTTATTTTTTGTTTATTTATTTATTGAGTTGGAGTCTCACTCTGTCACCCAGGCTGGAGTGCAGTGGCACGCTCACGGCCACTGCAGCCTAGACCTGATGGGCTCAGGTGATATTTCCGCCTCAGCCTTCCATGTAGCTGGAACTACAGGTGCGTATTACCACGCCTGGCTAATTTTTTTATTTATTGTAGAGACGTGGTCTCGCCAAGTCACCCAGGCTTGTCTCAAATCCCTGGACTTAGACAATCCTCTCACCTCCGTCTCCCAAAGTGCTGGGGTGACAGGCATGAGCCACTGTGCCCAACTGTCTCACACTTTAAAATGGTTTTTCTAAAAATGATTTTTTAAAAACCTTTCTTTTGCCTTAAATATGTTATTTTAAGCCAGGCTCGGCGGCTCAGCCTGTAATCCCGCGCCTTTGGGAGGCTGAGGTGAGTGGATTGCCTGAGCCCGCGGGTTTGAGACCCGCCTGGGCAGCGAGACCTCATCTTTACAATAAATCAAAAAATCAGCCGGGCATGGTAGCGCATGCCTGTAATCCCGGCTACTCGGAAGGCTGAGGTGGAAGGATCTCCAGCGCCCAGCAGGCGAGGCTGCGGTGACCAGGAGCGGCCACTGCACTCCAGTCTGGGTGACAGAGTGAGACTCCAACTCAAAAAAGAAAAATGTTATTTTAGAGGGGTCGGGATTGGCAGTAATGGGAAACTACCAGGGGAGAAGGGGGCACACCTCATCAACAAGGGTACCTGCATGATGAACATTTGTGTACCTCACCCTGAATTGTACCCACATCTTTAAGATAAAAATTTTTTTAAAGAAGAAAACTAATACAGTCTCAAATAAATGTATCTTATTTTATTATAGCCTATACATAAGATAGTTGAGAAATTTAGTTAAAAGGACAGAAGGAAAAATTACCAAACATACCAATACTTGGCTTGCTCTGCTGCCAGGTACACAAACTATCAACCTCTCTGGCCTACATGTGGCAGAAACATGAGAATAAATAATAAAAGGAGAATAATTAGGAGAGAGAAGAGACTCACTCTTACATACTGATCATACTAATAGAAACCATTAAGATGTTTTCTTGCTGTTGCGAAAATGTGGTCTAAGTTGAAATACTAACTTAAAACTTATGGTCAAGTTGATACCTTGACGACCAAAATTACTAAGTTATTATTGCTCTAAAAGTTATCTGTTAGTTTGGAATTATTTGCACAGTGATCTCTTCTCCATCCCTCATTTCCTCGTTGGTAATGTTAAGAATTGATAGTCTGGAAATTGGGTTGTGTTTTGTTTTATTCTAGGTCTTAGCACCTATTAGACCTTGCATGTGTATCTTTGTTGATCTTCATGAAAGTTTAGCTTACATTAATAAGGATAGGTATAAACTAGTGAAATATTATTTCGTAAAATCAACTGACTGAATTAATTTGTATTTAAAGAAAAACCCTGAATGAAGATACTTGATGAGAATGATTAGGGACAGTAAAGAAAACCGTAAAGAAGCCAGTCGGCAGCACAGACTCTGCTTGCACAAGTCTTTTAATATTCTAGCTAAGAGTGAACATTTCTAATTCCAAATGTGGTGTGATTGTCATTAAAGAGATTTTGATGTTCCAAGACCAGTCGTTGAGAATTTTAAAATCCTCTTTCTTCAAAAACACTGAATGCTTTTATGCTACATGCCAGGCACAGATGAGATGTGCAAAGATGAATATGACCAAGTCCCTGCCTTTGAAGCTCAAGTGCAATTAGGCTAGAGATTGATGAGGGCAGAGAAAGACAGGTAAACAAATGATTATGTGGTAAGGACAGTAGTAGAGATATACAGAATTTATGTACTAAAATTACCAAGAAGGGAACTGAAAAGAATTCACAAAGGAAACATTAAAGGAGCTTTTGAGTGTTCCAAGTAGAAGAGGACACTCTGTGCAGGAAGAGTAACATCCTGAAAGGCGCGAAGACAGGCTTTACCTAAGATAGATGCTTCCAAGCAGTAGCACAATTGGTAGTCTTCAGGAGAGGCTGAACACACTGGCTTGTACAGCTTCCACATTTTCTTATTTTCTAAAATCTTAACTTGAAATTTTTAAAAATACTGGCCAGACTCAATGGCTCAGCCAGTAATCCCAGCACTTTGGGAAGCCGAGACAAGTGAGTTGCCTGACCCCAGGGGTTTGAGACCAGCCTGGGCAACTTGGTGAGACCTCATCTCTACAACAAATCAAAAATTAGCCAGGCATGGTAGCACTTGCCTGTAGTCTGGGTACTTGGAAGGCTGAGGCAGAAGGATTGCCTGAGCCCAGCAGGTCAGCCTTGGGGTGGCCATGAGCGTGTCTCTGCACTCCAGCCTGGGCAACGGAGTGAGACTCCAACTCAAAAAAAAAAAAAATGCCACTTGTTTGCTAATTCACACACAGAGTATTCTTGGTAAGTAGTATAGCTTGGTTTTTACATAAATTAGACCTACAGTCTGAGTAATTTGTATTTCTTTAGTAAGATATGGGAACAAGTGATTCATACCTTTTAATCTAAAAAGAGTGAAGATTGTTAAAATAGCATATGAGATAAACTAGTCTTTTTGACATAATTAAAATTCCAGTCTATTTTTTTTACTGCTATTCCATATGTGAATTCCTATTTCAAAGATATGTTATTTATACACTAATAGCAATGGAGGATAGTATTATTATTATTATTATTATTATTTTGAGTTGGAATCTCACTATGTCGCCCAGGCAGGAGTACAGTGGCATGTTCATGGCTGCCACAACCTTGACCTGCTGGATTCAGGCAATCTTTCTGCCTTAAGCCTTCCAAGTAGCTGGAACTACAAGTGTGGTCCATCCTGCCCAGCTAAGTTTTGGATTTATTGTAGAGACAAGTCTTGCCAAGTTGCCCAGGCTGGTCTCAAAACCCTGGGCTGAGGCAGTTCTCTTGCCTCGACATCCCAGCGTGTTGGGATTACAGGCATGTTGGGATTACAGTGCCTGGCTAGGAGGATAGTATTAGTCTGGAAAAAAATGAAACGCAGAAACTAAAAAAACTGGTATTTCGTACCATCACTACCTCCACTTTTTTGTTTTTTATTTGAGTTTGAGTTAGCCCAGGCTGGAGTGCAGTGGGCATGCTCACAGCCACCGTAGCCTCCACCTGCTGGGCTCAGGCGATCTTTCCGCCTCAGCCTTCCAAATAACTGGAACGACAGGCATGTGCCAGCACTCCTGGCTAATTTTTTTATTTTTGCTGTAGGGATGAGGTCTTTGCAAGTTGCCCAGTCTGGTCTCAAGCCCTTGGGCTCCCCAAAGTGCTGGGATAATAGGTGTGAGCTACCGCGCCCAGCCACCATCTCTACCTTTAATCAGACTTGCTGAAACAACACATTTTATGGGTCTGTGTTTTATTTTAATATTCACTATTTTTTGGCTTTTTATTAAGACTTTTATTAAGTCTTTGGAAAGACTTGTAAGAATCAGAGGGTAAAATATGTCTGCGAAGGCATATGTAATCCATAAATGGGAAAATGAATTCCTGGAATAAGCAAGATTTAATTATACAACACTGGGCATGGTGATTCACGCCTGTAATCCCAGCACTTTGGGAGGCAGAGGCTCGAGTATTTCCTGAGTCCAGGGGTTTGAGACCAGCCTGGGCAACCTGGTGAGACCTCGTCTCTACAATAAATCAAAAAAATTAGCTGGGTGTGGCGATGCATGCCTGTGGTTCCAGCTACTTGGAAGGCCGAGGTGGAAGGATCACCTGAGTCCAGCAGGTCGAAGCCGAAGCTGAAGCTGTGGTGGCCATGAACAGGCCACTGCACTTCAGCCTGAGTGACAGAGTGAGACTCCTACTCTAAAAGGAAAAAAAAAAAAAAAAGGAAAACAACAATTTGACATTTTGAAGGCCCACATCACGTCGTGTACACCAGAGTTAATCAGTCTGGTTTTCCTCCCTTTTTAAAAAAAAACTTTTCAGACCACAAATACAGCAATAGTTCGAGGTAATTTTTCCTTTCTATTTTGTATTAAATCGTTCAATAGCAATGTAAGTTGACATTTTTGCAAAGCCCTAAGTTACTTATCCTCATTTTTGTAAGTTTTTTTTTTTTAAAGAAACAAGCTCCTCTAGGGCAGGACTTGATATGAAGCACATTGAGGATACTTATAGAATGCCAATATTTATAAATTAAATATCATATCATAATAAGTGAATTTTTCTCAAGGATAAAAGAAAAGCACATGAAGGGTGTGTGTTCGTGTGTGTATTTTCTCTTTCTGACTCCGTTGGTTTATTGCAAAGTTCCAAACCTGTTTTATCTACATCTGTTTTTCTTCTTATTTCCTTTTCTTTGTACAGGTGAGTTCAGAGAACAACAAAAACAAGAGAGTACTAAGCTCTTAGCATTTTGGGGGCACCACAGTGTAGAATTGGAAATTCCAGATTAGGTATTGATGCGTAGCTTTTGGTTTTCATTTTACTTTTCCTGGAAAGACAGCTCTATAAGAAATACATAGGATAAGATAGACTGCAATTAAACTTTTGGGTTTATGTTTTGCTTTACTTACTTTAGTAGGAATGTGATGATATTCCCTCTCTTTTCTGTCATTTATTCAAGAAGAATTTATTTTATGCAAATTATTCTTTTTTAATAGCAAAAGCAATATTTCAAATATGATATTAATGTAAATTTGTAATGATTGTTTTCTTAGTATAGGGAATTTTTAAAAACTTTCTTTTGAAAGTGTTTATGTAAAAGCAAGGTATTATATTTCTTTTTCTTAATATCTTAGGATTAAGTTAGTATTTTAGTTGTGTGCTTCACATGATAGAAATACAGACGTTAGTATGGGTATTTGAGAATCTTGTAAACTATGCTTTGTTTATAGTTCTGAATGTATAGTTCTGTTTATAGTAAAGGAAAATAATTTTAGGATGTAACTCTTGCTTTATTCTAAATTGAGGACTTGTATAATTTTAATGACACAAAATTGATATAATTGATGTCAGTAGCTCTTTGAAGTTTCCATGAACTGTGGAAAAGGGTAGAACTTTCATACATTGAACTTGTGATAAGAGGCTATGATTTTAAATTGCAGGCCTCCTTGTGTCCTCAATCATATACTGTATTTTAGATTTTTATTCAAAAGTTTCAGCCTTAACATTTTTTTTTCTTTTTTTGAGTTGGAGTCTCACTCTGTCCCTTGGCTGTGGGGTGGTGGCTTGCTCCTGGACCTGCTGGGCTCAGGTGATCCTTCCACCTCAGCCTTCCTACAGGCACGCACCGCTATGCCCGGCTAATTCTTTTGTGGATTTATTGTAGAGACGAGGTCTCGCCAAGTTACCCAGGCTGGTCTTGAACCCACAGGCTCAGGCAGTCCTCTCACCTCGGCCTCCCAAAAGCTGGAATTATAGGCGTGAGCCCCTGCACCCAGCAAATTTTTTTTTCTTACTTAAAAACAAATAATCATTCCCAGTATTAGAATTGGAGTCACTAAAAACTGTATAACTTTCAGGAAATGTTACTGTTTCTTAAAGACTATTTACATAGTCCCTACAGTAGTCCCTCCTTATTTGTAATTTCGATTTCTGAGGTTCCAGTTACCCGTGGTTAACCATAGTTCAAAAATATTGTAATTGCACCATTCCTCTATTAGTAGATACTGAGGTGGTTTCTAAGTCTGCTATGATAGCTCATTGAATTTTTCAGAGATTGAGAGTAGTGTTCAGGTAAAAGAAGTACATACTAATTCATAAGTGCGAAGAGAACATCAAGGCGTAAACCGTGGAAGAACAGGATAATTCCAGTACTATGTGGAATACTGTGAGGCATATGATAAAGCTAGGTAGTCTACCTGTGTTGAGAACCCACACCCTTACAAAAACATCTGCCCATGAACTACAACACAGAGCATGGGTGACAGCCATTTTGTTAACTGAATGTTTCCGGCAACGCTTCATGCCAGGATATGGGGTTTGGTACTATCCTCAGTTTCAGACACAGCCTGGGAGTCTTGGAATGGATCCCCAAGACGAAAGGAGGGGGACTACTGTATTCTAAAATAATACGTATTCTCAAATGTGTGATAGCTAATTAAAGAGGTTTCAGTAATTTTTTGTGTTTATCTTTCTGTTAAATATGTAAGATTGTTTAGATTAAATTATTTTGTGTATTGGCAAAAAATTGAAAACCAGACAAGATTCAGACAGTATATAATATATGTAATGTGAATAAAACAAATTGATCACGTTATAGTTTTACCTTATTGACTACAGTTAATACAGCTACAATGATATATCAACAATGAGGTCTTGCCTCTTACATTTTTTTTCTTTTTCATGTTTTAAGCAGTCTGGACCAAAAAGAAAGGTAAGCTTAATATTGATGAAATTAGAGCATGGATGTCAAAGTAAAATATCAAATTATTTATGTGCTTTAATTAGAGTTTGTCATTAGATTTTACAATTTTTTCATTTTTTTTCTTTTATTTGTAGTAGACATGCGATGATAATATTTATGGGAGACAGAGTGATATTTTGATATGTATGTGCAGTTATCAATTCAGGGTCATTAGCATATCTATCACCTGTGTGCAGTGATTATTGTTTCTTTGTGTTTCGAACATTCAGAGCCCTGTCTTCCAGCGTTCCAGCGTTTTGATAACATACAGTATGTTACAGTTCACCATGTTCGCCCTACAGTCCTGGAGGGCCCCAGAACTCACCCTTGTCTAGCTGAAAATGTATATTTGTTAGCCAGCCTTTGTCCATCTGTTGCTTCCCCAACCCTTCCCAGCCTCTGATACCCACAGTTATCTCTGTAATAAAAGGGAACTTGTTAATAGCACAACATGATATTTGACTTATGCAGGTGTTGTTCCAGCATCATTCATAATATACATTTTTCCATTAACAGTTATTATATATTGATGCCAGGGTGCGACTACTTTCCTTAAAAAGTAGAATATTTCAATGCCTTGGTAGTGAGGCTGCTCTCAGTTACTTCATCAAAATTTTTGTTGTTACGTTTCAGTGGTAATACTCCTGCTTTTATATTTTAGTAGACTGGTGGAGGGGAAATGGATTAGAACGCTTTAAAACTTGGAATTAAAGTTTCAACATAAAGCATATTCTGACTCCAAAATTTGTGACAGAATTTTGAGTCAATCTTTTTCTGTCACTATTTGTTCTCTTGTAAGAACACTGGCAGGCAGGGCCCCTTGGCATGTGGCTGTAATTGTTTTTTGTTTTTTGTTTTTTTTTGAGTCAGAGTCTCACTCTGTCGCCCAGGATAGAGGGCAGTGGCACACTCAAGGCCACTGCAGACTTGACCTGCTGGGCTCAGGCGATCCATCCACCTCAGCCTCCCAAGTAGCTGGAACTAGAGGTACATACCACCATGCCCGGCTCATTTTTTGATTTATTGTAGAGACAAGGTCTCACCAAGTTGCCCAGACTGGTCTTGAACCCCTGGACTCAGGCAATCCTCTTGCCTCGGCCTCCCAAAGTGCTGGAATTATAGGCTTGAGCCACTGTGCTTGGCTGTGACTGTAGTTTCATCACTTTGAAAGGCTGAGGCTGGAAGATTGCTTGAGACTGGGAATGTGAGATCAATTTGGACATTCTCACCTGAAAAAAAGGAAAAGAACACTGGTAGACACATTTTTTTGGAGAAATTAGCATAATATAAATGACATGGAAAAGTGTTTAAGCAGACACATTTCTTTGGAAGGGGAAGTAATTGTTCTAAAGCAAATGTTCATGAGACAGGTATGGAGAATCTTTTGAAGTTTTGTTTTTCTCAAGATTCTCAAAAGTCTCTTGGGACCCCTCCCCGCCTCCCAAACAGGCTAAGAGCCCTTGTATCACACCAATATTTTCACGTGATTGATGAGTGTCCAAAGAAGGACATTCTGTACTTTTTAAGCACTCTATAATCTCAACTTTTTTTTTTTTTTTGAGTTGAGGTCTTACTCTGTGCCCAGGCTGGAGTGCAGTGGCATGCTCATGGCCTACTGCAGTCTGGACTCCTTGGGTTCAGGTAATCTTTTCACCTCCCAAGCAGCTGGGACTATAGGCAAGTGCCACTACACCTGGTTAATTTGTTAATTTTTGTAGAGAACCAGGGCTTGCTGTGTTGCCCAGTCTGGTCTTGAACTCCCGGGCTCAAGTACTTCCCTCACTTCCAAGTCCCCAAAGTGCTGGGATTACAAGTGCAAGCCACTGGACCCAGCCTGTAATTTCAGCTTTATAATTTTGTTTGAGATCATAAAGGAGGTAAAGAGGACAGCCTGCAGTGTTTTATAAGATGCATATTTCTACACTGTGAATGCCAACTTGCTGAAATGAGAAGATGACCCTTCCAGCCAAAGATTTATGTATATTATTTTGAAATACTTGGCAATGCTTGCATATTTTAAATGAATGGGCTGTGCACATATTGTACCCATTTTCCTAGGAGAGAAAAAAATGTTCCCATTGTGTCACTTTTTCTCTTTGAGTAAATCATTGTTTTGTCAGGTATAGATGACAACATAATTTTCAACTCATAAGTGACTCATTTTAGCAAACTCATTTTAAGATGCTTTTAAAATTAAGTTACTAGAGGTGTACATTAAATAACTTCATGCAATCACACATGAAATAGATTCTTGTTTTATTTAAATAAACACATTATTTCCTGTAGGCTATAGTAATTACTTTCACATCAAAATAGTAGAAAGATCTTACTGTCTTTTTACAATAGCCTAGTAAGATTTATAATACTCTTTTTTACTGTTTTGGTATTTTATGTATACTTCTGTAGTGGGAATGTATTCGTTGATACATTCAGCAAATGTTTAAATGATTTCATGTGCCAGGCACTTTTCTAGAAGCCAACAGAAATCCCTGCACCCTTGGAGCTTATGTTCTTGTTGGGGTAATTTTGGAATAGGAGTCAAATCTACAGTCAAGTAACCAACCTAACATAGGCATGTTACTTGCTATACAATGGGAATAATAGTAATCGCCCAGTTTTAAAGGAGTTTTGTGGGGCAACAAATGCGGTAATTATTTAATACTGACGTACACTGTAAGAAATCTGAAATTTTTGAACATTAATAGTAACAGGCGGTGACACTCTTTCAGCCTTTTGTACTAAGCATACCTCTAGGGATTCTAAAACCCTGAGAACTAGATGTGAAACAGCCAACTCTTTATAAAAGATCTTATCACAAATCTACCTGAGTGCTTTATTTGGCAACTTAGTTACTGTTAGACTGAATGTAGCTCATAATCCTTTAGATCTTTACCTAAAATTATTTTTTGTTTATTTTCATCAGAGATGAACTGAAAAAAACTTTTGTATTATCATAAGGTTTACTTTATACATTTTTTTCCACATAGCCATTTATCTCTCGTGAAGAGTAAACCTCTTTTTTCTGATCTTTGAGGAGTCATAGGTCTTTTTTCTTTATACCCTACCACATGAAGTATATTATTAATCCTGAAATAAATGATTTATCTAATAATCAAAAACTAGTTTGTTGTAGAAGGTTAGTCTCTTCCAGGTTTTTCCCGCTTGTACTCTATACTAAGCACATTGAGGTTATGTTTTAAGCTTAAAGCGCAGCTGGGATGGATAAATAAATAAATACATAACAATTTTAAGACCCAAGTCTTGCAAACTTAAACAAATTTTTGCTATTAATTCTCTGTGACAACTTGAATGACTCGAATTCCTTTCAGACTCATGGTCAGATGGGTGGAGAATACGGTGTGTATGGGAGCACCAGCTACCTAGAATGTCTAGTCTGCTATTTCAACTGACTTTTTTCTTCTTCTTCCCCTGGAAAAAGAATCTATTGATTCATTATAAAACTGAATCATGTAGTAGTTTTAGAATATTTATTTATTTATTTACTTATTTATTTTTGTTGGAGTCTCACTCTGTCACCCAGTACCTAGGCTGGATGGAGTGCAGTGGCATGCTCACGTCCACCGCAGCCTCAATCTTCTGGGCTCAGGCGGTCCTTCTGCCTCAGCCTTCCAAGTAGCTGGAACTAGTCATGTGCCTCCATACCTGGCTAATTTTTTGATTTATTGTAGAGACAAGGTCTCGCCAAGTTGCCCAGGCTGCTCGAACCCTGGGCTCAGGCAGTCCTCTGGCCTCCAACTCCCAAAGTGCCAGGATTACAGGCATGAGCTACTCTGTGCACTTCTTAATATACTTAACACATGTGGAGTCATAATGAAAATATAGCTGTGTTTTCTGAATGTTCACCTAATATTATGTCCTGAGCACTTTTCCATGTCATTAAGTTGGCACCTAAAGAATAACATTTGACCAGGCTCCGTGTCTCAACCTATAATCACTGCACTGTGGGAGGCCAAGGTGAGTGAATTGCCTGAGCCCACGGGTTCATAACCAGCTCATGCAACTTGGCAAGACCTCGTCTCTACAATAAAAAAAAAAAGAATAACGTTTAATGACTGCATAGGAGCATGTCCTGCAGATGTATATAATTTACTTATCCATTAGCTCGTTTCTGATTGTTTTCCACTAGTATATAATACATTGGTAAACAACTTTATATGTCTCTAGCTGCATCTCTTTGAATAAATCTCTAGAAAAGGGCTTTTTGGGGGGCTAAGTTACAAATTTTTTTTTTCTTTTTCTTTTTTGAGTTGGAGTCTCACTCGGTCGCCCAGACTGGAGTGCAGTGGCATTCCCGGCCACCATAGCCTCGCCTGCTGGGCTCCGGCGATCCTTCCGCCTCAACCTTCCGAGTAGCCGGAATTACAGGCATGCGCTACCATGCCCAGCTGATTTTTTGATTTATTGTAGAGATGAGGTCTCGCTGCCCAGGCGGGTCTCGAACCTGCGGGCTCAGGCAATCCACTCACCTCAGCCTCCCGAAGGCGCGGATTACAGGCTAAGCCCCCGAGCCCAGCTACAAATGTTTTTAATGCTTTTGATAAGTATTGCTAAATTATTTTGCAGAGGGATGAAACCCCTCTGCAAATTGCTAGCTAAATTACCTGAAAATTATATTAAGATAATACTGTCTTTCTTGGAATAAGAGTATTTCTGAAACCCTAGAAATAAGGTGGCTATAGGACTAAAAATAATTTCACCTGCAATCAATTGAAATATGTTAGAAAGACCAAAATCTCATTCACAGTAGCAACTAAAATTAAATACCTAGTAATAAAATTAACAGTGTGTAATCCATTATAAATCTATTGAACTTGATCTAAGGTATATGCTATGTTCCTTATTTGTAAGACTTTGTTATTTGATGCCAGTGATCCTTAAAGTGAATTTAATGTAATTTCAGTCAGAGTCTCAATTTGTTATTTCATAAAATATGACCAACTGACTTTAAAGTTTATTTAGAAGAGCAAATATTTGACAAGAGCAGTAGACTTTTTTTTAGACTAAGACTAAAAGGGGGAAGAGAAGAATGATTTGTCTTGCCACATAATAAATCCTACTATAAAGAAAATAGTGACTGAACATGGAAACACTAAGAAAAGACCAGATAGTAAGACAGTAAACAAACTAGAAAGTCCAGGTATATTCAGTTTCCCACAACTTGTCCAATCTGTCAGTAAAAATAAGTCTATAGTGCCTTTCAGGTGCCAGCATTTTGATAATTGTATTTCAACCGACAAATTAATACTTCGAATTATTATGCATTGGCTCTGCATGGACATGGTGGCCAGTGGCTCAGTTTTGATAGCATTATCATCCTTGGTAATGGCATTGATAGCAATGTTTGTACAACTCTTTGAAAAATTAGTAAAAAGAGTTCTCATTAAAGCAAGGGGGAAATGACAAACAAAAAATAGTATCAAATCCAGGTTTCTAAATACCACTCTCAGGCTGGGTGCTGTAGCTTATGCCTATAATCCCAGCACTTTGGGAGGCTGAGGCAGGAGGATTGCTTGATCCCAGGAGTTCCAGACCAAGCTGGGAAACATAGACCTCGTCTCTACAGAAAATTTTTTAAAAATTAGGTGAATATGGTGGTGTGTACCTGTAGTTCTACCTACATGAGAGGCTGGGGGCAGGAGGATCGCTTGAGCCTACAAGTGAGTGAATAAAAATTAAAATCAGTTAGCCAACCAACCAACCACTCTGCAACAAAAGGAGTGTGGCAAAATGCCTGCCTGGGTTTTACTGATACGATTGGTAAACACAAAATGAATAGGGCATAAGAAACCTAGCAAATGCTCAGAAAATATAAAGATACTTGCTGCAACAACACATATACTAGAATTGGAACAGTGCAGCAATGATTAGCATGGGTGGCACACAAATTAGTAATACATTCCATAGCTCTGTAAATTTTGTGTTAAGTATATTTTACCATAGCGACAAGAACAAAAGGATGTGATCACATCAAAAGGAGCCAAAAATTAGTTTGTTACGGTGGCGTGCATTTGTCATTCCAGCTACTTGGGAGGCTGAGGTGGTAGGATCGCTTGAGACCCTGCCTGTAAAAAAAAAAAAAAGTGATGGTACCCTCAAAATAAGAAATTAATACAAATTTTTAAAAATTAAATCTTAAGGAAAATAAGATAATTTGTGGCTAGAAAAATTGTTTTAATTCTCTTATCAAGCACATACTTTTATTTTGAAATTTTTATATTATATTTAACTTAAGGTATACTTTTATTTTGAAATTTTTTAATTTCTGGTTTTTTAAAAAGATTTTTCCTGACTGTATAGGAACGCATGTGGTAAATATGGAAAACAGGGTGACCATAAAGTCAGGAAATACAGGAAAGTATACATAATAGTTTACTGTTACCTTGCAATACATAAGAAGATTGGGGGGGGTCACATGATGTATTCAGAATGTTTTTCTCCGTTAGCGATGCTCAGTTCAATACACTGTGTCTAACTGGAAAGAACACAGTGCATTAATGTGGCATTTTCATCAGTCCCCGCATACGCTTGTATGTTTTAATGTCTCAGATGATTTATGTTGACAGTTATTTTTACTGAATAAACCTGTGCTTTTAGATTTGGAGATAAGACCATATTCCACATTATATCCTTTTTAAATGTGAAACTGTACGGAATATAAAAACATGTATTTTATTTTAATTCTAATATAGTGTCTAGGAGCTGAAACCCCACCTTCGTCCTTATGGGATCATCATTGCTGCATCTAAGGCAAATCTCATTTTCGTAACTCTCATCCTCGCACATTAAACAGTTTTTCGGGGTGGAACTTATCGATATTGGTGCAGTTTGCTAGGGTTTGGATTGTGAAGTTGCCATTCGATAATTATGTGAGCATGAAGAAGTTAATTAACCTCATTATGTCTCAGTCTTCTCATCTTTAAAATGCGAATGAGAGTATATGGCTTGTGAGGGTTCAAGGAATTAGTAGAGATGAAGTACTTAGAATAGCACCCGGCACATGGTGCTTAATATTTGCTGGCCGCTGTCATAAGCACACTATGTTCTCCACTCTTGTATTTTCTTTTCTTTTTTTTTTTTTTGAGTTGGAGTCTCACTCTGTCGCCCAGACTGGAGTGCAGTGGCCGCTCCCGGCCACCGCAGCCTCAACCTGTTGGGCTCCAGCGATTCTTCCACCTCAGCCTTCCAAGTAGCCGGAATTACAGGCATGTACTACCACGCCCGGCTGATTTTTAGATTTATTGTAGAGATGAGGTCTCGCTGCCTCGAACCTGCAGGCTCAGGCAATCCTCTCACCTCAGCCTCTCAAAGGCACGGGATTACAGGCTGAGCCACCGAGCCTGGCTTGTATTTTCTTCTTTTGTCTTTTTTCTTCTGTTTCATTTCAAGTGCGTTGACTTTTGCCGTGTAAGAATACACAGTTTTCACAAGAAGATTTCTATAGAATTTTTGTTTTAATCGATTGCTCTGTAGTTAGTAGAGAAGATAGATGACTAGTGTGAATAGATTTCCAAATAAGTGGAACAGCCTCTTTTAGTTCCCTGGTTGAATAAAATGGGACTATTTTTAGAAGGCTTTACTTAGAGTGGGAAAGCATCTAGCTGTTGCATCTCCCTGATATCACTGTTGCAGTTTGTTAGTTCTCCTTACATGATGCTTTTATCCCCCAAACGAGTGTATATTTGTGTTTAAATAGGTACAGTATTTCAGGTAGTATTTATACATAGCATTTCGTCACCAAGGATTATGTTTAAAATGCTTGAATCAGTTGGATATAAAGTTGGCAAAGTAACATTTTAAAACAAGTATACTTATTTCCCCTGATATAATGTATTCATATTAGAAGATTAAAATGCTTGTTCCATGTTATCTGCTTTTGTACATAACATTTTTTGTTCTGGTTTGGGAGTTGTCCTCAAGATAGTCTCATTCAGCATTTACTTTTGTATTGATTGGTTTTTAAACAACTAAAAGCCATGCACTGTTAAATTAGGCAAAGTATTAAGCTGAGTTTTTTGGGGGGGATGTTGGAGTCTCATTCTGTTGCTCAGGCTGGAGTGCAGTGGCTTAGGTTATCCTTCCACCTCAGCCTTCCAAGTAGCTGGAACTACAGGCATGCACCACCCCGCCCGGCTAATTTTTTGATTTATTATAGAGATGAGGTCTCGCCAAGTTACCCAGGCGGGTCTCGAACCCATGGGCTCAGGCAATCCTCTTACCTCAGCCTCCCAAAGTGCTGGGATTATAGACGTGAGCCACCACGCCCAGCCCATTATGATTTTTATAACCTGGCTATGAAGACAATTACGAAAGAAAAGTTGTAAAGATCTGTACATTTGAGGAGTAAACAAATAGCTTTCCACAGTGACTCCTTGAAAGGATCATAATTTGGGTTGTTTCTTAAATACTTATCCAGAGTCTGCCTATCATGGACTCTTGATAATTAGACATTCTAAGAAAGTACTGTCACTGCTCTTAGGGTTCTTTTTTTTTTTTAGTCAGTCTTACTCTGTTACCCAGGCTGGAATGCAGTGGCTGCAGAGGCATGCTCATGGCCACTGGCAGCCTGCTGGGCTCAGGCATTCCTTCCCCTTCAGCCTTCCAAGTAGGTGGAACTATAGGCGTGTGCCATCATGCCCAGCTAATTTTTTGATTCCTTGTAGAGATACAGTCTAACCAAGTTGCCCAGGCTGGTGTTGAACCCCTGAACTCAGGCAGTCCTCTTGCCTCGGCCGCCCAAAATACTGGGATTACAGGCCTGAGCCACCACACCCGGCTGGGATCTTAGGATGTATTAAGCTTTTGTATATTTTTGCAATATAGTTTTATTATTTTATAGTATCGCTTTTTATATGACAAAGAAGCTATGATTTGCTTTGAATAAACTTCTTGTAAGTATACCATTGACTTTTTTATTTTGAAAACTGTATTTTCTGTTAGGATAAAATTGTATGAATTTCCTTTTCTAGGAAAGAATACCCACCTCATGTCCCAAAAGCTGAAATTAATCCTGTAAGGTTAAGTCGGCCCCAAGGTGTTGGTAAGTGGACAGTTTTACTTGTTACATCTGTGAAGAGTTTTGAGTTGCTGCATGAAGAATAGAACTAGAGATATGATACAGGCTTTAGAATATTCCCTGATACAATAGAAATGTGTAGAAAACCATTTTTTGTCATTGATTTCTTTAACGGTGACCCGATGTCATAAAATTGTACAGTCAGGTGATTACAGTTTGAAATATTTTTATATACTAGCAGTTTTGTCACAAATCTAGTTACAAATCTAGTAGTTGAGCTGTAGTTTCAAAATTGAGTTTTGTTGAACTATGTTATCATGTTATGTAATTATCTTTTCATTTATTGGTTTTGATCCTAGAATTTAGAACGCGGTAGGGATCCTCAATTAAATAGAGAGTGTACTCGATACAACCAGGTTAACAGTGGATGTTGGAAAGTCAGCTTGAGTGGACATTTGTATTTATATTAAAATAACTTTTGATACACTGCTATTAATGCAAAAGCAGAATAAAAGCAAGTAATGTTTATGAAAAATGTTACTAACAGATTAATTTTTGTTACCTAGAATAGTGATTCTTAATGTGTGTCCATCTTGTTTGTCCAGGTCTTTACCTTTTTAAATAGCTCTAATGGCAATTTTTGACAGCTAGGTTTTTCTGATAGCTAAGGGTGTGTTTTTAATTTTTTGAGGCAACATCTTGCTCCCTTGCCGAGGCTGGAGTGCAGCAGCACAATCATGGCTCACTGCAGCCTCGACTTCCTGGGCTCAGATAATCCTTCCACCTCTGTATCCTGAGTAGCTGGGATTAAAGACCTACACCACTATGCCTAGCCAATTTTTTTTTCTTTTTTGAGACGATGTATCACTATGTTGCTGAGGCTGGTCTCCAACTCCTGGGTTTAAGCAATCCTCCCCCTTGGCCTCCCAAAGTGCTGGGATTACAGGCGTGAGCCACCATGCCCAGCCAAGATGATTTTCTTTATTATTCTTTTTACCTTCTTTATTTTGAATTTAAGAGGCAGTTAGTATGAACTCTGAGTGACATATAAGTACTTACTAGCATTGATAAGTAATTCCTTTATATAAAATTAAAGCTTGAAAACCATTAAATATAATTTTTGGTCAGACCATAGTTACCATTCCTTTGTTGCTTGGTCTTATAAACTTTTTCTAAACAAATAGAATAACAACCATGTAACTTTATATTACTAGATCTTCCTGCCTGGGCAATGTAGTGATACCTCATCTCTATAAAAAATAAAAAAATTACCTGGGCATGGTGGTGTGCACCTGTAGTCCCAGCTACTCTTTGGGAAGCCGATGAAGGAGAATTGCTTGAGCCCAGAAGTTGAAGGCTGCACTGAGCCGTGATTGTGCCACTGTACTTCAGCCTGGGCAACAGAGTGCGGCCCTGACTCAAAAACAAAAAAGATATCTTATTTTTTCCCCCACCCACTCTTTTGTTTCTTAAACTTCATTTTTGGTTTCATTTCCTTGTCAAAGAGAATAGACATTACATACTGTCTCTGAATATACATTTAATTATACTCTTTTTTGAATCTGGGTCTCACTCTGTTGCCCAGGCAAGGAGTGTCTTCAAGATTACAACTCACAGCAGCCTCTACCTCCTGCGCTCAGGTGATCCTTCTGCCTTAGCCTCCCAATTAGCTGTAGCTACAAGCATATGCCACCACGCCCAGCTTTTTTTTTTTTTTTTTTGTAGAGATAAAGTCTTGCTAAGTTGCCCAGGCTGGTCTTAGAACTCCTGGGCTCAAGCAGTCCTCCCACCTTGGCCTCCCAAAGTGCTGGGATCATAGGTGTGAACCACCATGCCAGTGTAACTTTCCAGAGCTTTGCTATGCATATAAACCCATTTTTTAAAAAAAGTATTCATATTGTGTTACTATTCTATAACCTGGCTTTAAAAACAAACAAAAACAAAAAAAAAAACTCGTGTTTTTAAGGCTAGTCAAGCGAAGCAGTGGGAATGGAGATGGAGCAGAGACAGCTGGTTGTGATCAATGAGCTGTTGAAACCACTGCACTCGGACCAAATGTAATTTGCTTTTTGACTTTTATTATCAGGTTTCTGTACCCTCAGAGATAATAAACATGGAGCCAGGATAGAAAACACAATTAAAGGAAGTTGAGGGATCAGGTGAATTCTTAAACTTAGAATTTATTTATAGACGTTATCTCTGTAATCTGTTTTGTTTGGGGGTTTTTTGAGTCAGGGTCTCACTCTTGTCACCCAGGCTGAGTGCAGTGGCATAATCACGGCTCACCACAGCCTTCACTAACTGGGCTCAGGTGATCCTTCCACCTCAGTGTCTTGAGTGTCTGGGACTAGGGGTGTGTGTCACCATGCCTGGCTAATTTTTAATTTTTTTTTTTTTTTGGTAGAGATGAGGTTCACTATGTTGTCAAGGCTGGTCTCAAGCTCCTGGGCTCAAGTAGTCTTCCTGCCTTGGCCTCCCATAGTGCTGGGATTACAGGTGTGAACCACCATGCCTGGCCTGTAATCTTTTTTTTTTTTTTTTTTTTTACTTGCAGTCTCACTCTGTTGCCCAGGCTGGAGTGTAGTGGCATGCTCACAGCCACCATAGCCTCAACCTGCTGGACTCAGGTGATCCTTCTGTCTCAGCCTTCCAATTTGCTGAAACTACAGATGCGTGCTACCATGCCCTGCTAATTTGTTTTTATTTACTGCAGAGACAAGGTCTTGCCAAATCCCCCAGGCTGGGCTTGAACCCCTGGGCTCAGGCATTCCTCTCGCCTCGGCCTCCCAAAGTGCTGGGATTACAGGCTTGAGCCACTGTGCTTGGCCCTGCAATCATTTTTTTTTAATGAATGTATGGTGGCCCACTGTACTTATGTGCCATAATTTAAGTTGTTTTCAGTGTCTTAGTATAGTAAATATTGTGGTTACTAATCTGGTACATGCATTTGATCTAGTATTTCTTTAGATTAAATCCCTAGAAACTGTGTTGTCACCTCCGAGATCTTCCTGTTCTTTTACAGTTAGTCCCCATCCCTTCCCCCCTTAAAGGTAACCATTGTTCTGGTTTTTCCCAGATTAATTTTACCGGTTTTAGGACTTCATGTAAATGAAATAATGTAATATGTCATTCTTATGTAAGGCTTCTTTGATCCAGGATTGTTTTTGAAACTTATCCATACTATTGCATGTATCAGTGCTTTGCTCTCTTTTAGTGTTCTAGTGTATGGGTGTGCCAGCTTATTTATTATCCATATTCCTGGGGAAAATTTTATTCAATTTCTGGTTCCCAGCATTTCTAGTCTGTTGTCTATTATGAATAAAGTTGTTTTGAACCATTCTGTTTCAGAGTATCTTTTCTTTAGCTTGAGTTTTAAAATTTGTTCTCTCTTTATATCCAAACTATGTATAGATAGATTACTCTTATTCTATAAGGTATGTGCCACCATGCCTGGCTAATTTTTTTTTAATAGAGTTGGGAGTCTTGCTATGTTACCTAGATTGTTCTCAAACTCCTGGGCTCATGCAGTCCTCCTACCTTGGCCTCCCAAAGTGTTGGGCTTTATAGACATGAGACATTCCACTTGCCCCCAATGGATGTCTTGAACTTAAAATGATTAGTTTGATGATTTGATTAACTTCCTTTATCTAAACAGTTGGTACCCAATATTGAAGTTTAGATTTTTCTCACTACTGATCTAAGAGTAACTGTCTTGGGAAAAAAGAGTGGGCGGTTCAGGGCAGGCAGTGCTTCTGTGGCCATAACAGTACGAAGCCGGCTGAAGAGAATATTGGTGTCCTTGGTGACGTGATCCGCAGTGTGGAGATCCCGTTGAGAAGGTCGAAGTCACAGGACTCAGCCAGGATGTGACTCTTGGCTTAGCCCTGAAGTTCCGGTTGTTCTGAATTGTACATGTTGAAACACTCGTTTCTTTTAACTAAAACTTAGGATTTGAGAATATAAACTACTAGTTTTTCATAGCAAAGTTCATGAGAAAGTTATAAATCTAATTTTGGTACTTTTATTTTTCTCCTTCCTTTAGAACGTATAATGAAGAAAACAGAAGAGTCTGAGTCACAAGTGGAGCCTGAAATTAAGAGGAAAGTGCAACAGAAACGGCACTGTAGCTCATTCCAGCCTGTTTCTTCTCTGTCTCCTGCTTCAAAAAAATGTTTAACTCATTTAGAGGTGAGTGGAGAAATTAGTCTTATCGCTGATCAGATGGCATTTTTATTATTATTTTTAGTACTTATTGAATTCTAGGTGACCTTTTGTCCTGGGACCAAAAGAGGCCTAGAAGTTATTTAGGCAGACTTTTCTGTCTTTAATAGACTATTTTTTTAATCCGAGCAAAATAAAGATTTTTTTTTTCCTAAAAAGTATTTATATGACCATTTGTATACCTATCCCTGAATTGTACCCCACATCTTTAAAATTTTTTTAAAAATCGATTTAATAAAAAAAAAGAACTAGTGCTTCCCTGTAACATACTCTAAATGATTGCTCTCAAACAGCAATTTTGTGAAACAATTTTAAATTTATAGAAAAGTTGACAAAAAGCATAGTAGAAAGAGTATGTGTGTATTTCTTTCCCGGTGTTAGGTTTTCACATTTGCTTTGTTGTCTTCCCTCTCTGTGCCTTTCTCCTTCCTTTCCTTCATCCCATTGAGAGAGAGAGTGAGTTTCTGTTCCATTTGAGTATAAGTTACAAGCATTATGCCCACTTACCACTTAATACTTGAGTGTGTGTGTGTGTGTGTGTGTGTGTGTGTGTTTTAAAGAAGTTGGGGGTGGGCGCATTCTTCTATATAACCAGAGTGCAACTATCAATGTCACAAAATAACACTGATCCAAAGTTACCATCTAACCCACAAATCCCATTCAAATTTTACTTACATAGTATACTTTATGGGTACAAGAACCAATTAATGGTCATGTGTTACGTTTATGCTATTTTTTTTTTATGATTTGAAGTCTCACTCTGTTGCCCAGGCTAGAGTACAGTGGCACCTTCATGGCCACCACAGCCTCCACCTGCTGGGCTCAGGTGATGCTTCCAAGTATCTGGAACCGCAGATGAGCGTCACCACACATGACTGATTTTTTTATTGATTGTAGAGACAAGGTCTTGCCAAGTTACTCAGGCTAGTCTCAAACCTCTGGACTCTGGCAATCCTCTGACCTCCACCTCCCAAAGTGCTGGGATTACAGGTGTGAACCACCACACCCAGTGGTCCTTTGTAATAAATAATAATTTCATAGTCTTCCCTTTTCTTTCATAATCTTGATATTTATGAGGTGTATAATCCACTTATTTTGTACCTAGTAGGTTTGTCTGATTTATTTGTTTGTGTGTTTGTAGCGACAGAGTTTTATTCAGTCACCTAGACCAGAGTGCAGTGACACAATTAGCAGCCTTACCCTCCGGGCTCAGTCCATCCTCCTGCCTCAGCCTCCCAAGTAGCAGGGACTCTAGGCACACACCATCAAATATGGCTAATTTTTTTGTATTTCTTGTAGAGAAGAGGGTCTTGCTATTTGCCCAGGCTGGTCTTGAACTCTTGGACTTAAGAGATCTTTCCACCTTGGCCTCCCAAAGTGCTGAGATTAAAGGTGTTAGCCACCATACCCAGCCTAGTTTGATGCTTCTTCATTATTTGTATAATTTTCAGGAAAACCTCAGAAGTAACGATGTTATAATCTTCTCATTACGTCATATCAGGAGACACAACAAAGTTGATTTTCACATTAATGGTAGTGGCCAGGTATGGTGTCATGCTTGTAATTGGAGGGCTAATATGGGAGAATCACTTGAGGACAGGAGTTTGAGACCAGTCTGGGCAATAGAGCGAGAAACCCTCCTCTTCCTACAAAAAAATTTGAAATTTAGGTGGGCATGGGGGTGCGTACCTGTAGTTCTGGCTACTCAGGAGACTGAGTCAGGAGGATCTCTTGAGCTTAGGAGTTCTAGGCTGTAATGAATTGTGATCACACCACCGTATTCCTCCAGCCTGGGTAACAGAAGTGAAACCCTGTCTCTATTTTTCTTCTAAAATGATAGTTTTAAACTTCATTAAGATGCTCTTGATTCCTCCACTGTGAAGTTAGTTAATAGATATTTCTGTATTCATTTATTAATAAGACTTCTAACACTTTTTCATATTCCACATTTACTTATTGATATCAGCATAGACACATTGTTTCTTATTTTTCTTAGAAGGATAATAGTCTGTCACTTTCCTGATTTATTTTGCTACCCACATTGTCCCAGATTTGGTCCACGTGTCTCCCTTCAAGCCACTTCCCTTTTTTTTTTCCCCATACCCCTGCCATTCTGTGAGCATGTCTTTACTTTCCAGTATAACAAGATGCAGGACTTACCCTGCATGTCTCTGTTTCAGCCCTCGAATCATACATTTCTCCAGTGAGCCATTTTTCCTTTAAGTGGAGGGAAGATGTTTGGACACTACTTATGCTCATTGATCCTGGGCATCGTTGTTTCTAAGTCTTCTTAGTGGACAGAGCTTGGAAATAGGTGTGTGTGTTAATATTCAATACATATTAAAGTTCACACTGATGACTCTAATTCTGGTCCAATACCACGATGTTTCTTTTTTTTTTGAGTCTTAGTTTCACTCTGTCACACAGGCTGGAGTGAAGTGGCATGATCACAGCCACCGCAGCCTTGACCTGCTAGTCTCAGGTGATCCTTCTGCCTCATCCTTCCAAGTAGCTGGAACCACAGGCATGCCCACCACACCCAGCTGATTGTTTTGATTTATTGTCAAGAGGAGGTCTCACCATGTTGCCCAGGCTGGTCTAGAACCTTGTGGGCTCAAGTAATCCTCTCGCCTCCCAAAGTGCTGGGATTATAGCTGTGAGCCACCATGCCTGGCTCACAGTGTTTCTTTTAGTCTTTCCACTTTGCATGTTTGTAAGTCCCTCCTCTGACAGTGATAAACTTGGTGCCCATCATCCCCAGGAAGTTGACTTATGTGCTCAGTTTTCCTTTATGTGATCAGACTTGGTTGTCCTGACATCGCCCCTGCTTGGCCTGGTGAAGGAGAGAGGGAGGAGAGCTCCTCCCTAGACATACAGCCTTCCTCTACATGCCAGCTGAAAACCTCAGGATTTTTTTTAATGTCTAAAATCAGTCTTCCTTCTTATATTCTCCCATGCCTGTTCTTATTTTCTTCTTGTGGATAAAGAATTGCAGCCAGCTTCTATGTAGTCCTCAATTCGCAAACAAGGTTAGTGGTTTTTCTTTCCATGTACAGTCTGTGAAATTTCACACTGTATACTGCTTATCAGGAAACATGAATTTAATGGGATTGAACATCTTTAGACTACTTTAAAAAATGACACCTCAGTGATGTCTCATCAAAGACTGGCTCATTTTTTAAGTGTGGTTGGTTATTTATGAGTGAGAACCTACAGATAGTATGTGATACAGAATTTGGCATTATTTAGTGTTGTAAAAGTCTTCCACTGACCAAAGCAGGGAATGAGATTTTAATCAGTTTTTTGTTTTACAAAAGAATTTATACTTAAAATTTTTATGAAAATTTACTATTTTACATATATTCTACTAAAACTAATTGAGCAGTATTGAGATTCTTGTTTTTAGATTGCTAGGCTGATGCAGTTCTTAATCTTTAACTTTTATTGTGAAAAATTAAGTTTCCTACTCAATTTAGTGGATCTGCATTTTGCTCCTAATTTTTGCACATTACCAAAATATGTGTTTCTTAGCTGCTGAAAGACATATTCTAATAGCTCCAGATATATTTCCTTCCATATTTTATACTGGAAATGTTAATAGTAGGGATATGCTTTTTCTATTTTAGTATTAACTTATAAAAGGTAATACGGGCTGTCACTTTTCTGTGGAATTTTTTTATTTAGATGTGTTCTATTTGTCTTTATTATAGACAATAGATTGGAGCCAGTCAGTACTCCACTTAATCATATTCTCAGATTCCTAGGTATAGCTGATTGCTGGACTAGGTGGTCTTGAAAATGTCTTCTAGCGTTCTGATGCTAAATCCTAAGTAACATGACTTACTCCGAGTCTCGTGGTATCCCTGGTGGTGATGATTAGGAGCTAGGGACTTTATTTTGAGACTTTGGGGAGTTCCTTAATCTCGAAATAAAATGCCAAAATTTCTTTTTTCTTCTGTTCTTTTGGAACTTAAAGTTTCTGAACAGCGTGAATGTTGTCCCAAAGGTGGAAAAGAAAAAGAAAATCAGACCAAATGCCAAAGTTGTGGTGTTCTTTTTCCTAAGGATTTGCAAAGAAATTGCAGACAAGCTGTAACTTTGAATGAATCTACTGGACCGTTATTAAGAACATCAATTCATCAGAATTCTGGAGGACAGAAGTCACAGAACACAGGACTAACAACCAAGAAGTTTTATGGCAACAGTGTGGAAAAGGTTCCGCTGGATGTGATTGTGAATTGTGATGATGGTAGACACAGTTATTTACAGACTAATGGGAAAGTAATTTTACCTGGAGCAAAAATGTCCAAAGTCACAAACTTGAAGGAAAGGAAGACAAGTCTGTCTGACCTAAATGATCCAAGTAAGTTTTTTCTCCCTTGTTATTGCTCATGTCACTTCATTGTTTTTTGTAGTTATATTTAACGTGAGTGGTAGCATGCAATTAACTTTGTTCTCATCCTGTCCATCTTAAATAATTTAAAAAGTATAGACCTTGGCTGCAGGATTAGGTCAGTTGCCAGTTATACCCAGCTTTCTGTCTTTGGCCAAGCTAATTTAATCTTTCTGATTTGTGGTTGTATGTATTTCCTGCTGATACTGTTTTTGAGGAAATAACAGATAATGCACCTAACCATAACCCAATAAATTATTTGTCACACCGAAAGGACTCAGTGAAAACTGGTCTTTTTGCTACTCTTATTCCTCCCCTCAGTCTTTTTCCTGTCTTTGGACACCCTCATTTATTTGTGCATGAGTGTTGAATGCAGTCCTGTTTGTAGTACAGAGCAGAAGTTTAGAGGTAATTAGGGACTTGTTGAATAGAGTAAGCAGCTGTAAAAGGGTGGAAGAGCTGATATACTGTGTGGAGCGATTTCCTCAATCTTAATTTAGTGAATAAAGCAAGCTACAGACAAGAATATGCACTATACAGTACGGTAGAATGAATATAGTTTCTTTTAAAAAATAGAAGGTGGGCACAGTGTTGTGCACCTGTAGTCCTGTTACTCAGGAGACTGAGACAGGAGGATTGCCTGAGCCCAGGAGTTCAAGTGTAGCCAGGGCAACATAGCCAGACCCCATCATCTCTTTAATTTCAAAAAGGAAAGATCACCCAAAACTAACAAGATCAAAATGCATGAAAGGGGAGGAGACAATTTAGACATTAGGGATAGATGCGAGATTTCTCCAAATATACCTTCTTCTATGGATTTGACTTTGGAGCCGTGTCAGTGTTTTATGTACATATAAGACAATATTAAACAAAATTTTTAAAAAGAACAAATTTAAAAACAAAGTGAAACTAGTGAGCCTAATTATATATTTGGGTTGTGGCTTGAGCACACATAATCATTGCAAATGAATTAAAAATAATGTGACTGTACATTCCTAATGTGATATATTTTACGATTAAACAAAACTGCAAAGAAATCCTAAGTGTATTCAGTAATACTGTTGTTAATAATATTGGTACTTTAAAACATGTATAAATAAGCAATTATATATAACATATACAGTTTTTAAACATATAAATAAATAAGTAATTATAGTCTCTAAAAAAAGTTAAAATTCTATAACTTTAAATTTGGAGATAATAGTATGAAAATATATATAATTCCATACTACTATCTCCAACTCAGATTTAAAGTTGTAGAGTGCAGTGGCACAGTCATAACTCACTGCAGCCTCTAAAGCCTGGGCTCAAGTGCTTTTTCCACCTCAGCCCCGCAAGTAGCTGGGACTACAGGCATGTGCCACCATGCCCGGCTAATTTATTGAATTTTTTTGTAGTGATGAGGGCTCGCTAAATTACCTAAGCTGGTCTTGAACTCCTGGGCTCAAGAAATCCTCCCACCTCTGCCTCCCAAAGTACTTGGAATACAGATTTGAGCTACCACTCCCACCCTTCTTTTTTTTTTTTTTTTTTACATGAAAATAAAAGCAGCTATGAGAAGAGCTTTTTTTTTTCTTTTTTCAAGGTACGGTCTCACTCTTGTTCCCAGGCCAAAGTGCAGTGGCATGATTATGTCTCATGTCAGCCTCAATCTCCTGGGCTCAGGCGATCCTTCCGTCTCAACCTTCCAAGTGGCTGGAACTACAGGAATGCGCCACCACGCCCAGCTAATTTTTTTATTTATTGTAGAGATGAGGTCTTACCAAGTTGCCCAGGCTGATCTCGAACCCATGGGCTCAGGCAGTCCTCTCACCTCGGCCTCCCAAAGTGCTGGGATTATAGGCATGAACCACTGTGCCCGGCCCATAATAATAATTGAAAATAGAACACTGGGCTTTACTTTTGACACGTATTTCTGTGTGGTTTTCATAAACAACATAAATAGTTCATGGACTATTTCAAAAGAGCTGTGTGTGTGTGTGTATGTGTGTGTGTATGTATCTGGCACAGTGCTAAGCATTATATGTATCATTTGCTCCTTATAATAGTTACGTGAGCTAGAGTCCCCTGTGTGTGTGTGTATCTGGCACAGTGCTAAGCATTATATGTATCATTTGCTCCTTATAACAGTTACATGAACTGGATTCCCATTATTGTCCCCAAGTCTACAGAAAAGAGAAATTGAGCCAAATAACCAGTAAATGGCAAAACCTGAACATTCAAATACCATATATGTAAGTCTGCTTAGACCTTCTCATCTGACCCGTTAGGTTTTCTGTTAATAAAAGGCCAGCTCTGAAAAAGAATTAAGCTCTGCATTTGCTCCTGAGACTGGACAGAAAATTGAAAAGCCAAGTGGAATAATTCTGGCACATGTGCCTAGCTCAGTCCATGTTAGCTAAGCATTTATGTGTGGGATGCTAAAAAAGAAATGGCCCCAACAGTTCATGCCATCCCACCCTTGACTTTTGAGTGCCTTTTTTGTGTCAGGCTGGTTTATGCCTGGGGATAGAGCAACAAACATGACAGTGCCCCTGCTGTCTGCAGTTTATATGGGAAAAACCAGTGTGCAAGTGAACATCCACAGCAAAGAACAACAGAAAATTTAAATCAGGTGGTGTCACTGATTAAATAAGTGCCTGTGTGCTTAAATAAGTGCCTGTGTGCTTAAATAAGTACCTGTGTACTTATTTGAGATCGGGTTGCCAATCAGAAAGTGATACTTAAATGAATATTTGGTGACAAAAACATGGAGGGTTGAGGGAAGTACAATCCAGGCAGGAGCAAGCTTGTGGGGTTTGAGGGACAGAAATATTCCTAGAGTGCCTGGAGCATAAAGAGAGAAAAATAGAGGTGTATGAGAAAGTTGGACAAGTAGGCCAGGGGCTAGCTGGCCAGCTCCTATGAATGAATATGCCGGAGTAAGGCGTTGACATCTGACTCAGGAGCCATATAGGTGGATCTTGGGAACTGCAGTATTGAGATAAGCTTGCTGAGGTCCAGTAGTCAGCACAGTGCATCAGAGCGCGTTACCTCTGTGGTGTCTTTTCTCACCCACGTTCATGTGCTCGGGATTTATTGTGTCCTGCTCCAGTCTTCCAAAAACCAACTAGGATTTGTTTGATTTTCTGTGTGAAATAAAATTATTTGGTTATATTGAGTTTCACACATATTTTAAATACGTGATATTTTGTGAGCAAGTTATGTACCTATCATTTTTATGCCTTCAACTTTTGGGGACTCTGAAGCAGACCTACTGGCAAACATTTCATCCTGGTAACGTACTGATACTGCTGTGTGGGTTAGTGGTGCTGGATTGTAGGATGAATTTTATAATTGTATTTTTAAAAAGATGCCAAGTCTTACAATTTCTACAAATTGAACTTTTTATGAGATAGAGTAGATTATATCTTCATTCATTTTTATTAATCTCAGTTCTAGAAGAGATCCAAAGCAAACTCGGCCGATTTCTGCCTGTGGTAATTATTTGCATTTTTAGCTCTTGGAAGTGAAATATAAAATTGTATGCATATTTTAAATATAAATTAGAGTCGTTTTTTATTACTTTAGTCATTTTGTCCAGTGATGACGATGATGACAGTGACAGGACTAACAGAAGAGACAGCATATCTCCGCAGCCGGCGGACTCCGCCTGTTCTTCCCCGGCACCGTCCACTGGAAAAGTAGAAGCAGCCCTCAATGAAAACACCTACCGAGCAGAGCATGAACTAAGAAGCATTCCAGCAGACTCAGAGTTAAATACAGTTACGTTGCCAAGAAAAGCAAGAATGAAAGACCAGGTACGTTTCACGTTTGTTGACGTCTGTTCAGGTTAGAGTCTTCTTTTGGATGTGAACTATTTTTCGAGCACAATCTGGCAGGGTCAGTAGGAGAAAAAAATGGATTACGCATTAAGTGGTTCTTAAATACTATGTGGACGATTGTTTAGAAGAACATTAAACAATATACACAAATAAAATTTCAATTAAGCATAAGACTTAAAGTATAAAGAATTCAACAGGGAAAAACAGTAACAACCTTACAGCAAAATGTCAGTGTATACAAAGAGTTCTTACACAGTCTAGCAGACAGGGAGAAGTAATTTTAACTCCCTTGTATATTTTACTATATAAAATTTTTTAAAAGTACCTGTGGTTCCAACTGTGCAAGAGGCTAAGGCGGGAGCGTCCCGTGAGCCCAGAAGATCAGGACTGCAGTCAGCTATGCTCACGCCACTGCATTTCAGCCAGGGCAACAAAGTGAGGCCCTGTCTCAAAAAATAAAATAAAATTTAAAAGACTCACATGGAAAATGATAACATAAGCAATTTCAGTAGACAGTAGCTCTAGAGAGAAATATTTGTGATGCAGATGACATAATACTTTAATGTTTATAATTAGACCAAGAACACTTAACAGAGGATGAAAAGAAAATGAATAAAGACTAAGAATAGACAAAAAGAGAAGACAATTTATGTAAACTGCCACATGAAAAACTCAGATTAGTAAGGATGTGCAAATTAAAATGAAATAGGACTGTACTTCATGGACTAAAAAATTGATATTAATAGATCAGTTAACAGGTTATTGTTGGCAAGAATCCAAAGAAAAAGACACTTTCCTAATTTGCTGATGATAAAGAAATTATGGCCTTTTAGGAAAGCGATGTAAAAATAACTGTTAAAAATTTTTAAGTGTGTACTGTTTGACCAAATAATTGATTCCTTAGACTCCATCTCAAAGGAATTGCCCTCATTCCCGGTGCGTAAGGCTGTGTGTACAGACATGATTATTGGCAGACAGCTGCACACAAAATCACTGCCCATTAATAAAGTTATCGTATATCCATACTATGTAGCTACTGAAGATAAAAATTAGAGCCATGACTTTTAGGATTTCCACATGATACTGTTGAGTGGGAATACCAAGATGCAGGTATGTATATTAGCTAAATATACACATACTTATAAATAATATATATAATGAAGTATAAATTTATATAAGCTGGCACCTGCCTGCTTGTCCAACTTTCTTATACTACACTATTTTTCTATGATATTATTATAAAATAATAAACTCATGTTAAAAAAGTAAGTCTATACATATGTGCATATATATATTAGGGTTTATAAGAGTACAGGTGAAAATATGGAAACATACCATTTAGTTGTTGAGATGGGAACTTTTTTTTTTTTGAGTTGAAGTCTCATTCTGTCATCCAGGTTGGAGCGCAATGGCACGCTCACGGACACCACAGCCTTGACCTGCTGGACTCAGGTGATCCTTCCACCTTAGTCCCTCAGCCTTCCAAGTAACTGGAACTCCAGGCATACGCACCACACACAGCTAATTTTTTATATATTGTAGAGACAAGGGCTCACTAAGTTACCCAGGCTGATCTTGATCCCCTGGGCTCTGGCAATCCTCTGGCCTCTGCCTCCCACAGTGCTGGGATTACAGGTGTGAGCCACCATGCCCGGCCAAGATGGGAACCTTAGTATGAAAACAAAAAGCAATAAGGATAATTAGAAACATCATATATGAATTTATTTATTTATTTGGAGACAAGGTCTCACTGTGTTAACCAGGCTGGTCTTGAACTCTACTGGGTTGAAGTGATTCTCCCACCTCCACCCTCCAAGTAACTGGAATTATGGGTGCAAGCCACTACACCCAATTGGATTAATATTTTTGTATAATCTTAGAGAATGCCTTTCTCATCTTGATAGCATAAGCAAAAATAGTAAATGAAAAGTGGAATATATCTGATTAAATGAAAAGTACAGCACAGTGTGGTAAAACACTATAAACAGAATTTGATCATTGCAAATGGAAAAATAGCAAACTAAGTGACACGGTGGAAATCGATCCTTTATATATTTTAATTTTCTAAAAATCAAGAAATAGAGGCAAACTACAGGGAAATAAGTAAGGGAAATGAATAGATTTCAAAAAAAAATTATAAAGTAGTGAAAATGAAATTAAAATACCTTTTGTTAAATGTCCAGATTGCCAAAATTTTTTTAGCTATGACATTGTCTCATCTTGATGTGTGTTTGGAGAAGTGAAATTTGGGTGGTGTAAATTAGTATAACTTTGCTGGAGGGAAGTTGGGCAACATTTCTAGATGTGGACTATAGTCGAACTGCACAAATGCTGCATGGTGAGAGCTGGAAAAGAACGCAGATGTTCAACATAGAAGAGTTCAGTTAAATAAGTTGTGGGTTTGCGTGTGACGGAATTTTGAGGTGAGCGGTTCTTGTACTGGCTTGCTAAACCATTAGAGCATCTCAATGCTCTGCAGCGGTGCTCCTTTGGAGGGGTGTGGAACACGCAGATTCTAGACTCAGCCCCTCCCCTCTGCTGCAGATTCAGCTGGAGCAGCTTCTAAAAATTGATCTGTTTTGTTAGTGACCTAAATAACCTCTCATTTGAAGACATCACTTTTAAACTAAAGAAAACCTTTCGGGCCCCTCACAGATTTTTATTACTAATAGTGGGAAAATATTCATGAGAAGTCTTTTTTTTTTTTTAGTTGGAGTCTCACTCTGTCACCCAGACTGGAGTGCAGTGGCTGCTTCCGGACACTGCAGCCTCGACCTGCTGGGCTCCGGCGATCCTTCTGCCTCAGCCTTCCAAGTAGCTGGAACTACAGGCACGCGCTACCACGCCTGGCGAATTTTTGATTTATTTTAGAGATGAGGTCTCGCCAAGTTGCCCAGGCGGGTCTCGAATTCGCGGGCTCATGCAATCCACTCACCTCAGCCTCCCAAAGTACTGGGATTACAGGCTGAGCCACCGAGCCCGGCTGAGAAGTCTATTAATAAGCCAAAAAAGCAGTTTGCAAAGTCATGTATATACATATACACACACACTGTATATATGATGATCTCATTTTGTTTTAAATATGTATTTTGTTCTGTGACATAGATCATAGAAATATCTCTAGAAGGATAATAGAAATAGTGCCTGTCTCTTTGCAGGGGATGTGTTTTCCTTGTTTTCTGTCAAGATTTTGTTTTGATAACAAGGATATTAATATAACTACTTTTGATTAAAAGTCTACATTTATAAAATATTTATATTGTGATTATTTTCTATTTGGAAGTGACTATAAAGTCCTAATTTGGCAAATCAAATATTTTAAAACATGTTGGCATAACGAAGCATTATTTTGTAACGCAAGCATGCATTCTCCTAAATTGCTTGTTTTCCCAAGATTGACTGATTTACTTCAAGTACTACTACCACTGTAACTAGAAACAGTTTACTTTGCTTGAAACACTCTACTAAGCTGCTCATATACGTTAGCTCTGGAGTAGGTACCCTGACTGCATATTTTACAGTTTAGGAAACCAGAATTTAAGGAAGTCTTATGAAGTTTTACAAGATCAGATCATTAACAGGTGAACCCAGGTAGTCTGATTCCCTGTGTGTACTATTCCTGACTGGCTATTTTTTGAATTTCAAGTCACAACTAAATAACATATAGCTAGCTAAGATATAAGCAATTCACAATTATATAAAAACTGTGGGTTTTTATTTTATCTAACATTGTTGAAAGAAAATCAGTTTTATGTTGTGATATTTACATTTTTAATATTGGATCTTTGCGTATTTGTATACTTAGTTTGTGGCCTTTTTTAGTAAATGAAGTGAAAATTTTCATTTCCTTTTCAGTTTGGCAATTCTATTATCACCACACCTCTAAAGCGTCGTAAAGTGTTTTCTCAAGAAACTTTAGTTGATCCTTTATCTTTAAGCTGCCAAAGTTCCTTTGACAGTGTCATTTTAAACTGTCGAAGTATACGAGTAGGAACACTCTTCCGGCTGTTGATAGAGCCTGTAATTGTAAGTACTACTTAAGCTCTTTACTACGTCACTCTACTGCTGAGACTAATATGTAATAGTTAAAATATGTAAGTTAAAATATTTGATTGCCTAGAACATTGAAATTAGATATCAAGATTTCAAATTGCGTTGAGGTCATGCCTAGTAACTCTTCACCATTAAAAATTAGTGGATAAGAATGTATTATAATGTAACCTTCAAAGTTGTGACATAAATTACTGTAGGGAGAGAGAGAAGAATCCAACAACTTTGGAATCTGCTGGAAAATGTACCTAAGACTTTTAGAAATAAGTTATTGGGCTATAATGGCCGCCCAGTTGTGCTTTGGACTAGTTCATTGTCCATAATGCCCTAAGGACTTTATGTAGTTTCCTTATGTTACCTGTCGTACGTGTGTTCTTACCATTCTCCTGCCACCAATCCAAGTTCTTATTTTTTACTTGAAATTTTAATATAATCTCTGTAGTCATCATTTTTCCTTCTTATATGTTCTAAACATTGTTGGAGGAGTGATCATAAAGCACGGTATTTATTCTGTAAACCTTTATGTTACAATGCCTTAACTTGGTGCCCCTACTTGGTTCGAACTCTTCTTTCAAGCCCTGTCTTGTAGTATTGTCCTTTATGCATAAAGCATTGTCTTAAGAGAACATATTATATATAAGAGTGGGAAAGTTAAAAGGTACTTTTTTGTTATTTAAATTATAGTGAGTAATTACTATTTGTTTTCTGATAAAGCTCATGGTTCTAGGAAACAATTTGATCAAAAGAAAAAAATGTATGTTTTTTTCTTTTAAATAGGAGCAAATGAAAATGAACCTGATTTTTTTTTTTTTCCCCTTTAAGTTGGAGTCTCACTCTGTTGCCCAGACTGGAGTACAGTGGCCATTCCCAGCCACCGCAGCCTCGACCTGCTGGGCTCCAGCGATCCTTCTGCCCCAGCCTTCCAAATAGCTGGAACTACAGATGCGCGCTACCACGCCTGGCTAGTTTTTTGATTTATTGTAGAGATGAGGTCTCGCCAAGTTGCCCGGGCGGGTCTCGAACCCATGGGCTCAGCAATCCATTCACCTCAGCCTCCCAAGGCGCGGGATTGCAGGCTGAGCCACCAAGCCCGGCTTGAATCTCATTTCTTATTAGAACAGAGCTCTGTGGGAATCCAGCATTTTTTTTTTCATCAAAAAACTTCAGTGTCTCACGATTCAAAAGCTAGATCATGCTGGGCACAGTGGCCCATGCTTGTAATCCCAGCATTTTGGGAGGTTGAGGTCAGAGGATTACTTGAGCCCAGAGTTTTGAGACCAACCTGGGCAACTTGGCGAGACCTCATGTCTACACTAAATCAAAAACTAGCCGGGTGTGGTGTCGTCCGCCCATAGTTCCAGCTACTTTTAAGGATGAGGCAGAAGGATCGCCAGAGCCCAGCAGGTTGAGGGTGTGGTGACCGTGAGCGTGCCACTGCACTCAAGCCCGGATGACAGAGTAAGACTCCAACTCAAATAAAATAAAATGAAAGCTAGATCATTTCAGAAATACCCTGGAGATTTAAAGCAAATTATATATAGATCGTCTACCTTTTATTACCTGGTAACATTTAATATATGTCAGAGTTTTCAGGGATTTATGAAATTTGTATTTTGTTACAAGCATTCATAGCACAGATTGTCTTTCCTGGTCTCTGTCATTTAACAAAAATGTCTCTGTTTATCACCTTGTACCTCAAAAGTTTCCAGGTGTGTGCTGTAGTTTTGATGGCTCTCTACTGTATTAGCACTGTAATTTATAACTCCTCAGTACGATGAGTAAGATTTTGTTGGTGACTTAGACGTTTAATTGAAAGTTGCATATTTAGACTCAAAGCTGTCTATCAAGAATTACATTAAAATGTGAATTTTTTTTAAAGAAAAGTTACAGTTGAGAATTATATATGGGGGAGCCACCCAAAACTTGGAATTTATTTTTAAATTGTGTTTTTATTCTTACATGTTTAAACTTCAGTCACCTTCAAAGTAATCTCTGTTTGATGCAATATACCTGTTGAGATGCTTTTTCCGCTGCTCAGGACAGTTTTTGAACTCCTCAATTTTGATTCCTTTTGGTGTGCTTCTGCTGTTTTTTGTTTCACCTCTTCCACATCAGCAAAAGGTTTCCCTTTGAGGACTTTTTTCATCTGGGGAAACAAAGTCGCTGGGGTGAGAGTGGGTGAATAGGGAGGGCGGAGCATGAGTCACGCCATTTTGGTCAAAAACTACTAAACAGTGCGGTGTGGGCAGGTGCCCATCATGAAATGCGTGTTGAAAAACTCCAGAAGTAAAAATTCACTAACACCAAACGTAGCCTTGCCTAATAACAACAGCTGGCACACAGATTCTGGTGGGTTTCTGGAACGTTTACCTAGCGGGGGAAGGCTGTACCTCTGAGAAATGATTGTTCTTTTGAATGGGGTCCTCCTCATATGCTACAGTGAAGAAAAGCTGTGTACGTTGATTCGGAAAAAAGGCGGTACATATCATGTAAAATATGTTGGTACACTTTTTAATTACTATGCTAAATGAAGTATTTTGACCAAAAAAATATAATGTGGAAGTTTGCAGGATGGTGTTAACTTTTCTAATTGAATGATGTGTTCCCAAAGGATAGTCTTTTTTTTTTTTTTTTTTAGATTAGAAAACATAGTTTATTTAAAAAGTATACTAGAGAAGGAGAGAAAGAGAGGAGATTCACCTTCTCGAGGTTGGGGGGGGACCAAAGCCCCCAAAGGATATTCTTTATTGAAATATAATTAGTGCATCTATAATCTCTTCAAATAAGTATAATTAAAAAGATGGGATATTTTTTCTTGGACATAACTTCCTTATGTTTTATAGGGAAATTATTTATCTGCCAAGTTAAGACTAATTCAAGAAACAGATTTTAAATGTCCTACTATTGTAAATGTCTGATAAAATGTCCTACTCATTTATCATTAATTTAATCATTTTAATTCACTCAGTGATAGAACTGGCACTGTGTAGAATTGTCAATTTTATGTGAAGTAAATACTTGCCTTACTTTTGGTATAGCAGAATGCTTCACATTTTCAGTAATGCCACATATGCCCAAATATGAAGCAGTTCCTCAATTTTCTAATGGGAATATATAAAATCAAGATTTTTATTCAGTTTTTAAATTTAGAAATATTTGAAACATAGATAATAATAACCTGATGTCTATTTACAATATTAACCCTTTGCACTTGGAAACCTCTCGTGGACCACCTACCAGCAACTCGACTACACTTTTTTACAAAATAATGAAAAATGAATCACTTCATATTAAATAGTATAGCTTTGGAGCCAATTAGTTTATTGTAATGATATTTGGCTTATAATAGACTTTTGGAAATTGAGAAATTTATTTATGAGAAAAATCAAAAATATTTTTCTAACATTTGGTAATGTGTGAAACAGCCACCAACATGCAGGTCCGTTGATTCCTGTTATACAGTAGTGATTTGTTTGATGTCTTCCACCTGGTGTTTTTCTTTCGAGCAGACAATATGGTCTTGTTTTCTTCCTTCCACATTAATAATATGTAATTTATTGTCCAGTCTGTTGCTCGAAGACCATGTAGGTGGACACACTCTTGATTCCTGAAAACCACTTCTCAACGGATTGATCAGAAGCTTGACAAATTTCAAATGAGACATAGGATTTTCATTGTTTTTGAATGGGAAACTCCAAGGAAACATAAATGTTTGAAAATTTTGCGCTTGCTTAAGTTTGTCCTGTATAATCACCAGCAGCCTCATTATGCCCCCTGAAATGGGATATCCAAGTGGTGTGCTAAGTGTACAATGTCTCCTGAGAGGGACATCTGAATGCAAAGCGTTAATATTTGTGTGTAATTCACCTATGCACAACATTTCTAAATGACATAGATATTAGGCGTAACTTCATTCATCTCATGCAACAATTTTACTTAAGTGCTTTATATCCTCATTGTTAATGTCATCATTGTTGCCACTTTTTGAGTCAGCTAAATATTTTTCTAAAGCATATAAGTTCAGCTTCTACATATGCTAGAATGTTTCCCAAGCTACAAATAACTGTTTTTGATGTCTTCAAATAACATGTCACTTTCCAGTAAAACTAAGTATTCCTTTCAAGTTGCAACTTTAAAAAGCACGTTTAAGCCGGGCTCGGTGGCTCAGCCTGTAATCCTGCGCCTTTGGGAGGCTGAGGTGAGTGGATTGCCGGAGCCCGCGGGTTCGAGACCCGCCTGGGCAGCGAGACCTCATCTCTATAGTAAATCAAAAAAATCAGCCAGGCGTGGTAGCGCATGCCTGTAATTCCGGCTACTCGGAAGGCTGAGGCGGAAGGATCGCTGGAGCCCAGCAGGTCAAGGCTACGGTGGCCAGGAGCGGCCACTGCACTCCAGTCTGGGCGACAGAGTGAGACTCAAACTCAAAAGAAAAAAAAGCACGTTTAATGATATTCTAGACTTTGCAGTTGTTGTAGTAAGTGTTGAAGGAATTTTCATAAAGAAGAACAAAATCATAGATTTTGCAGCAAATTGGAAAAAAGTTGAAGATCTTTTTTTTAATGTATATTTCTTTTTTTTTTATTATTTCTTCCCTCCCTGCTGACAGGTCATACTGTTTGTCATTTAACTTTTTAAAGACCTCTGCAATTCTTTTTTATTTAGCCTATGCAAATAAAAGAACTACCCACTTCCTTAAAAAAAAAGAAGAAGAATTTTTCAGTGAACATTTTTATAACTCCCAGCTAAGTTTACCATTAGCATTTTATTCTACTTGCTTTTCATATATCTATCCATCCCTCTATATAATAATTCATCTTATCTTTTTTAATGCTTTTCAAAGTATTTTGCTTCCTTTTTAATTGTCTTGACTTCTATAAACATGCAATGATTAATTCAGGTTGTATCAGGCTTAATATATCTTCTTCACATTGAAATAACTTGTTAGGAATGAGTATTTTATAACCAACAATAATAACTGATTAAAGCAAGATCTTCAATGGATGCTAAAACCATTGAGTGAAAGATTTCTGGGGAATTAGAGTAATCACAAGGTCTCCAGTATCTCCATAGATCGTTCATATGCAAAGGAAAAATATACCTTTACTTTGTAAGACCTGGCAGTCACTCCCTTAGCCAAGTGACAAAGCTTGTATCAACAGTGGAACAGCTTGACAAGATGTGTCTTCTGATGTAATGTAGTAGCAGGTGACACCATATCACCTAGGTGCTGTTTTTGCTGGAACTGGGTAACCTGGTTTTTAAAATGCAAGTGCAGCATATTGGATGTTTTACAGAACCTGACCTAGGTTCCTTAAAGGCCATGTCATGAAGAACAGAGCAAGTTTCTGGTATAGATTGGTGTAGGCAAAAGAGAAATATAACCTTGATAGAGCCATGGATTGGGGAAAATTAAAACAACAATAAAGGACAATTCTGAGCAGTCTGGAATATTTGAGTGTGGAGTATGAATATTATGTTGAATGAATTGATTTCTTAGATGTGCTGATGGTGTCTGGTTGTATGGGAGAATATTCTTGTTCTTGGGAGATAATGTGTTAAATTGTATATATGTGATTTGGGGATAAAATATTGTGATGTCTGCTGCCTGCTTCATGAAGGTTTAGCAAAAAGCAAGTGAGTATATAAGTGGAAAGAGTAATGGAGGAGCTGTGGCAAGATGCTCCCAGTTAGTCTAGGTAAGTAGCGTTCAGGTGTTTTAATGTTCATTGTAATGTAACGCACTTCTTGGGAGGTTTTAAGAGAGAAACCCTTAGTATAAGAAATGTTCTGTGTACTCAAATAAAACAATTGAAACCGGCCTTTCTGAGGGATCATCTTTTGAAGGGAAATATTTCATCTTATATTTAAGCACATGGTAGATGGCTTAGTTTTTCTGCCCTCTGGAGACTGAAAGTCCAGATACAACATATCATTTAGGGTATGTGTAGCAAACTCTTTATATGTCTATGACCAATACTAATTCATCTTATTTTTTAGTTTTCTTTAGATTTTATCAAGATACAGCTAGACGGTAAGCTATTTTGGTTTTTTACTCACTGAAGCTTTATTTACACTAAAGCCCTTTACAGGAATAAAAGATTGGATAATATTCATAGGATTCATTAACATGATTAATCATTACATGTATCTTCTGATCAAAGGGTCTATATCTTGGTATAATTTCATTCTGTAAATCACAAAATCTAAATTGTTTTAGAACTCTCTTCATTTGGAAAAAATGTAAAACCTACTTTAAGGTTGTTATAAAGATTTTTATTTCCCATAGAATTGTTATTTGGAGAGCATAAAATATATGTGCTTGTCATCTAGGCATGCATTTTCTCTCCGTTGCTTTCATTTATGATCTTGCCCTCTCAAGAATTGATCCCTTTTCCATTTTCATTTGTTTTCCTCCAGAACCAGATCGTGATCCTCTAGAGATTATTTTGAATACCTCTGATCTAACGAAATGTGAATGGTGTAATGTCCGAAAACTGCCAGTAGTGTTTCTTCAGGCTACACCAGCAGTTTATCAAAAGCTAAGCATGCAACTGCAAATAAATAAGGAGGACAAAGTTTCGAATGATTGTAAAGGAATAAATAAGCTAACAAGTAAGTTGTGTAGGACAGACTAGAATAATAAATACAAACTGTTGAAGAGCAAAATGTGAGTGCACTGTGATAGATGCCTTTGGTGTATATTAGCTTTAGTTCTAACAGCTGCCTCATAAAATAGATACTACTTTCTCCATTTTACAGATGAAAATTCCACAGAAAGTGGAAGGGCTGAAGATAAAACCCAGGTTTACACATTTAGAAAGTTTCATAATTGATTAAAACTCTTTTAAAAGATCTTCACTCCTTTAGCACTCTGTAATCTGAGTAAAAGGGATTTTTTTAACCACCAGTAATACTGAGTGTAAATCAACCAGGTAAATCTGGAATCCTTGAAACATGCCTGAATAGGAAGCTTCCAAGTTCCTAAAATGGGTCTTAAGTCTTTATAGCATATAAATGTGGTTCAGAGTTTGTTTCCCTTTACCTCTGGCATTGGTGGCATTGTGTGAATGCTGATGAAATAAGTGTGTTTCAACAGTGACTGCTACTTCAGCCTAATGGGGAAGAAATGTTCGCTCCCACTGTAGCTGCAGGAGTTGGCATGTTAGTGAACAGCGTTTTTACAGTTAAATTCTTTAGCGATAATACCAGTTCATTTGGCAGTTTCCTGTTAGTGTTTGACAAAAATGTTAAGATATATATTTAAGACTATAAATGGATTTAGATTTATTAAATGAAGTAAATTAGTGAATTCATGAATAGATTTCTTGAGCTGTTGCTAAACTAATGTGTTCTGATTTATTTCTCCTACTAACTTAGGTGACGTTGTCAAGTAACACTCACTGGTCTTTATTCCAGTATCTATTGTGTTAGCTACTGTATGCCCGAAATTGTTGTGGACATTTATACCAGGATTTCTGAGGCTCCTTCTGGGAATAATTATTTGTTGCTCTTTTTTAAATGATCTGTTTACTTATTTTGTTCTTTCAGACTTACAGTTGTATTTATTTCTTTTCAGATTTGGAAGAACAGTATATAATTTTAATCTTTCAAAATGGCCTTGATCCTCAAGCAAATATGGTATTTGAGAGTATCATTAATGACATTGGTGTAAAGAATAACATTTCCAGTTTTTTTGCGAAAATTCCCTTTGATGAAGCCAATAGCAGACTTGTTGCCTGTACAAGAACCTATGAAGAAAGCATCAAAGGAAGTTGTGTGCAAAAAGAAAACAAAATTAAACCTGTAATTGTTTTTATTTTAATTCTGTACTTTTCAGTGTTAAATCTTTTGAATTCCATTTCAGAGTTACTTTTATGTGTGATTGGTAAACTGTCTTATGTCAAAACAGTGATGGGTAGGTGATAAATAGTACTTGTTACAGATCCCATTTTTAGTTCCTCTCCACATTCTTTACTTTTCGTCTTCTTTTTCCTCTCATTCTTTTTTCTTCACACCCTGCTGTCAACATACATATGTATACATTGCTACATTCAAATTGATTAGTACCTTGTGTCTTAGGTTTAAAGGAATTTTGGTCCCTGGTGTATTGTACGTTTGTATGTAGTATAGGCATACATGGTTGAAAACTTGGGAAGTAAAGAATGCATTCAGTTTGACCCTGATAGTCAAAATGTATATCAAATTCTAAAATGAAACTACTCATATAGTTAGATGACTCTGAAGCCGCCTGAACCAAAGGCCACAGTACTACTATAACTTATAGTATAACGCTAAGCAGCATAAATATAACTTAAAAATTCCAAGTATCATACTAACTGAATTTTGCTGACCTAATGTTTTTAGTATCAAATCTCTCAACCTGGTTACACACATGGAAATGTGGCTATCTAAGGCATACTCTTGGGGATGGTTGATCAAGGCCTTACCAGAGAAGAGCCATTTGTACAGTTAGTGGGTTGGGGAAAAGAGTAGGAAAAAGGAGCAACTCGTTCTTCTACTTTTGCGTAGTAGGTTATGGGGCATAATGCCAGAGGAAGAAAAACTCCAGGAGCCAAAAGGCAGCAGAGATGGCCTTATGTTTCAATGCAGGTTCTTCCCTCTGTGGACCCCCTGTTTCACTTAGGTCTGTGGAGGACTGAAGCTCATTGTAGATTGCCTAGCTGTTGATTGTAGATTGCCACTGCTAGAGGAAGAAAAGCACTATAGTTTTTTGAAAGGTTCTCTGAAGTTTACCTGCGTTGTTTAATAAGGATAAGTAGAGATCACAGAGAAGTAAGAGACTGGAGAATCATTGTGACACAAGTTGGGAGAGAGTTACTGTCTAGAAGCTACGGATGACAAGAAAGTGGTCCCTAGTTATAGCCTGTTTCTTATTTTTAATTGTTAAATATCATGCATCCTTTTTAGATTTTTAATCCTTTTTCATTGAAGCGCTTTCAAGATCGGAAGAGCGGT